TGTGAAGGGTTACTTGCGTAATTAACCTGACCCAGTAACAATCGCTCTCAGGCTGGAGGCACATAGATTGTATTCCCACCAGCTGGAAAATCTTTGCGTAGGGTGCAGCTGGGAGTGGCATTGTTATGCAAGTGACAGCGCAGTGCGAGATCGGCTGGTCCTTCTGTCACACGTTATTAACAAATGAGGGGATCGGGCGCCGCATTCCGTCACAGTGGGCATTCGTAGTTTATCCTTAAAACGCTGTAATGAATGTATTCAAGCATAGTTAAGGTAGTCTCCTATCCGCAACAATCGTTTATTGATCCACCATCAAAAAGGGGCAGTTGCTAAGCCAGGTACAAATGAAGGGTAACAAAAAACCGGAGCTAAGGGTGAGTGTGGGGATGCTAATGACTTGCAGTGGCGTACTGTCCCAAACTGTCACAGAATACGACAAAGTGGAGCATAGTATAGGTGGGCGCAATCGGTTAGGAAGCCAAACTAATGCACCAACAGCTAGAGGGTGGCAGGAGAGCGCTTCCATAGATATTACTGGATTTTAAACAGTCACTTTAGTGCTTTACATAGCTATACCTGCAAAAGGCGTCAACCTCAAGTAATCTAGCAGGACTTTATTTTCTGAGTACTGTTCCACTTTAATGCATAATCTGCATGAAGGTAAAATAAAAAAAATCTTCTGTAAACAGCCCCCACAAATTTACTGAACCCAATCCAGAACTGTGCCTGAGTGCAGCAGGGCTGCCCACTCTCCTTACTGGCCATGGCGGCAGCAGGAGCCACTGGTTCCTACAGCTGTAAATCAAATCCTGTGAAGAGGGAGCAGGGCTGAGCCATGCTTGCGTGTCAATGGACAAACACAGCCTGGCTTAGGAGGCATGTGTGCCCCCATAGCAAACGGCTTGCTCCTCCATATGCAAAGCAGCATGAAGAAATACGTTAGCAAAAAGCAGCACATTACACAAATTACCTTGTTCACACACTTAACCCCTAGATAACACATCAACACACTATTTAATTCATTTTCAATATTCAACGCAAACTCTCCAATCCAACCATGTCTCCATGCTTTAATTTTTTTGAGAAATCACTTTGGTAGGAAAATTTTTGCCCAGGGTCCAGTCAATATTAAAAACGGCCCTGGATATCAGTCTCCATCAGTTCCTAGCCAGTGTCAGATTGCCCACTGCATCAATCCCACTATAAGTTGCTGATCACCACCATTCGTTTAAAAAAAAAAAAAAACCTTCTAGTATATATTCCACAGGTTGTATACACCAACACTCATGCTAGCCAATCAATATACACGCAACAGAATTTTGTTTTTAACCAAAGCATTTGTTTTCAATTGGATGCTTTACAGCCAAAATTTAAAAATATTGTTTTCAAATCACTCCATCTTTTTGCTTTCATACAAAACCCAGTGGCGATCAAATACTACCAAAAAGGTGCTGTACAAAAAAAATTATATAAAATTTTAATTGGCTTTAATGAATGACCATACAAATTACCAGTTTAGCGCAGAATAGCACATTTTGGCCTGATCCTGAGGGTTGTTTTGATTAGCTGGACAAATGCATAATTCCAAAGAAAGCACAGCAATTCATCTCAGCAGATGCCAAAACTGTACATCAAGCTCCACATGGGACATACAACAGGGTCGACTTAGTTATAAGCAAATAGACTGCAGTTGGCAAGTGCAGTTGCACTCATTTTCCCAGAGCTTAGTCAATGTGGGGAAGCTCTGATAATTTATCCAATCATGAATGGCATTCATGTTCCTTGCACTGGATTGGGTAATCTTTACAAAGTGAAGGATCAACAAAGTCTGGGGGTGAGACAAACATTTTAACAGCCAAGGAAATAAAAAGGCCTGTTAAGCCAAACAAACAGTACTAGGACCAGAAAAATAAATTACGGGTTTATCATAAATACCCTCTGAGGGACACAGCTCTTCTATTCTTGACCATAATGGCATTCCCTTCCAGCTGAGGGTGAACCTGTAGGAGTCATGCATCAGCACGTTCGGTCCTCAGCTGGAAGGGATCACACCTATGGTCAAATAGAGTTCTGTTGAACGGAACAATTTTTTTTTTTTTTTTTTTTTTTAAAGGGAAAAAAAAAAAAAAGTGGTTGTACAGGGAACTTGTTTTGGCAAGGCTATCACAGGGGACAGCAGGTGGCAGCTGCAGCAGTGGAAACCTAACACCCTAAAAACAGTTGGAACATGTAACATGTTCCCAAAGGTGAATTTATCATTTAATAATCAGTACCCATTTAAAAGTGCTTCAGGCTGTTGTGAACTCAACCAACCACTTCTATAGAAAAAGTGATCATTCCACAGGTCCTGGCACAATGACGCTACTCAGTAAGCTCAGGCCTAATGCAGTTTTCAAGATAGAAAGCAGGCGTTTAGCAAACCACTTCACTGATCCAGGGTGGGGGGGGGGTTAAAAATAAGGATGGGAGGTGGCCAGATACCACTTAAGTGTCACTGTACCATCACATACAGGGAAGTGTTAACCCTTTTGCAATAAGCTACCTTTGTCCCCATTGTCCAATACATAAGGATTCATACACAAATGTAAAGAAATTAAGGGCAATTGCTCAGGTTTAAAATCTAAACTGATGCACAGTAATCACAGTTATTAGTCACCTGCTTAAAGTATTTGTACCAGGTAAGGGCAAACAATGAAAAGTGTTCCAATGTAAGCAAGAATATAAAGTAGAAGTTTGGGATAGTTTTATTTGAGAAAGTGTAAACAAAATGTTCTGGCAGAGTCCATAAAAAGCCATAATATACAATGCAAACAACTTGGTCATTTTGCTTCAAAAAAACAAAAACAAAAAAGTGTCCAAAGACTTTGGCAACATGAAAATTTAAAAACATTAAATAGTTTCAGATCAGCCTCTGTAAGATCCCTCAAATTCCAGGACAAATATACAGAGTATCTAACTGGTAAGACACTTTAAAGTTGTACACAAATACATAAAATAGAGGAAACTATACAAAAAGGGATTTTATTTACAAAATATACAAGCAATCAAAAAGCTCAAGTGTATTCAGTCTTCATCAGAACCATCATCAACCAGTGGACGAGACCTGCAATTAAAACAAAAAAACTTTATTTTTTATACGCTTTAAATTAAAAACTAAATAAAAAAAAATACACAAGTTTATGGATACACCTATACAAGAAAAAAACCCAAAACCCCCAAGCAGACAGCTCTTTATTGCTGAAGTGACATGCAATAACTCAGCCTGTTCACTTTATTGCATGTACAATGAGTGGAGCATGTGCAGCTCAAAGCATTGGCAGCACATTCCAGCAAAGGAATGACTGACATTCCACCAGCCAATCACCTTTAGTAATAATGCCATGCTGTGCAACACCTAGCTATTGTCCACGCGGCTACTGAAGCGCTGTGGATGGGAACCACAAACTTAATATAGTGCCCAACAGCAACACTGAAGGATCAAGGATGCAAGGTTCCTGAACACTTAATTGCATTTCCTTTTCTCCACAACTTTAAGGGCTCGTTTCACTTGACTGTTTTACCAACTCTTGCTAAAAACGCCCCTATAGCATTTGACAAGCGTTGGTCCGGTGTTTGCCGAGCGTTTAACGCTCGGCAAACGCCACATGCACGGTTCAGTGGTGGTTGCTTGGCGTTTGCCGAGCGTTAAAAACATCCTACAAACGCCTATAATGAAGTTTGAATGTTACCGCTCCGCAAATGTCGGCCGGGCGTTCGGGAGCAGCACCATAGACTAGAATAGGAGGCTTCAACGCCTCCTGACTCGACCAGAGGCATCCAATTTGCCGTGCTGCGACGCTCCCGTTAGAACACCATGTGCTGCAATGCGCAGAATTGTCCGAGGAGTTTGGGAAGCTGTAAAAACGCTTCCCAAACGCCTGCACACAACGCTAGTGTGAACGTAGCCTAAAAAAAAGGTCTTATTTAGCAACCCCATTTGCTAAACTATAGAATAGTAAGAATTTATATTGAAGCCAGCAAAGATTAACACATTTACTCAACTATATCAGAAGTAGGGATGCACTGAAAATTCGGTGGCCGAAACATTTCGGCTGATAACACCCCTTTTGGCTGTAATAAAAGTACGGATATAGGTGCCGAAAAAAACCCTGCCCACTCTAGTTTTCAGCCTTACCTGAGAAACCATCGAACAATCCCAGCGCTGGGCATAGAGATAAGTGAAGGAAAGATGGCCTCCACTCATCTCTATGCCCTTGGAGGACCGGTGTGATGTCACTTCCAGCCTTTTTTTTTTTAATCACTAGATCAATGCTTTACATTGCAGAAGAGATATGGGGTCTTATTGACCCCACATCTCCCGATAAAGAGGACCTGTCACTATCACAAGGGATGCATGCATTTCTTGTGACAATAAAAGAAACATTTTTTTTTAAAGGGACAGAGCAAAAAAAAAAAAAGTTTAAAGTGCCCTAGTCCTCACACAGTGAAAGCATACATAGGCCATGCCCACATATGTAAATGGTGTTCAAACCACACACACGTGAGGTATCGCCACAAACGCAAGAGCAATAATTCTCACACTAGACCTAACTTAACACTGCTAACCTGTTGACTTTTTTTAAAGCATCACCCACGGAGATTTTTTAAGTAGCGCATTTTCACACCATTCCACGAGCGTGTGCAATTTTGAAGCATGACATGTTGGATCTATTTTTACTCACCGTAACATGCTCTCATTTTACAAAAAAATTGGGGTATTTTTTTTTTAATCAAAGTACTTCCCAAAAATTATATATTCATTTTAAAACTGCATTACTGTTTTTGACCGAATACATTTTGAATTGTTATCAGCACTGGAATTTTCATTTCAGTGCACCACTAATCAGAAGAGCTGCAACACTTGGAATGCAATGTTAAGTTGCGTTTTTACAGAACACTGGATGCTTAACCCACAACCAAAAGCTTCCCAACATACCACTGTTGAGTCTGCTGAAGTACACTTACTTCCTTGGTGCTTTACCAATGCCACTTCCTCCTGCTTCCTCATCGTCAGAAGGCATACGGTTCTCTTTTTCAACACTGCTAGTAGATGGAGATCCAAAGAAATCCCCTATACCTTTTTGCCATTTTGGAGTAGGTCGGACACATACAGGATTGCCTCCAGCATACTTCCCTTCAGCTGTAAGTTTGTTAGAGATAAGGAAATCTATAAATATACATACAATCTTAGACAAAAATTTGCTTAAAGAGAACCTGTCATTAATGGATGCATCAACTGCATGATTATACATGTTTTAATACATACAGTGAACAGGTTAGTCAGGTTTTTCATAGCAATAAGGGCTTTATCAATACATTCTCCTAAAAATCTGTCAAAGGCAACACTCCCCACTTTCACTTCCAAATGTGGGGGAAAAAGTGACATTCTACCCACAAATCCATGCTTATAAGTCCCATCACCAAACAGTTTAGATTCCATAGGAACAGGGGCAGCAATTTTTAGAGACCTTTTAGTAGTGGCATCATCAAGTGCAAGTTTAAGCACAAGAGGGTGCCAAGTACAGTATCGTATGAGGTGGGACAGAATAGTTTTACAGATTTGTAGCAATCTCCTGCTAGCCATTATATTCAACAGCTGTCACCTTTGGCTATCTGAAGACCCAGAGAAAACATCTAGGATGTTTAGCCAACAATTTTCCATGCAAGTGTCAATTTTTAAGCCAACTTGAGTAGGGTGGGGCCGTCAGGGCCACCCATGGCTTGAAATTTTTCCAAAGTGAATAGGCCAAAAAGCAAACCATGTATAACTATCTTAACAGCTAGTTGCTAAATCTCAAGTTTGGATATACTTAAAAGGACAAGCTCACCTTACATATTGGGTTACGTTACACCCATATTCAGGATGCAACGATCAGACCGGCCACCACTAGGAGGATCTTCTCCCCCTCCCTCCCGGACAAATTTTAAAGACGGGGCTGCGCAGGGCTCCACCCACATTACTCAGTCATCTGAGAGACTAAGAGTCCCAACAGCCTTAGCTGCTATCAGCTTGTAGTCCTCAATGAACTACCATGGCACCGTGAAGTGCTGGTAGTTCATTCTTCGTCAGTATATCTGCTTGATCGTACATTCCGTACAAGCAAACAGATATATTGAGATCTGCAGCAGACCTGCATGGACCAGCGATCATGGCTGGTGCAATGGTATCCAGGTTCCTGCAGACAAAACGCACGTTTTTTTCACACATGCAAAAACAAATGTGTGAAAACAAATTTTTCTAAAATGCGACTTATCCTTTAAGCTGCTTGTTGACCAATACAAAAGGTCCTACAAACTAGTGTATCCTAGGGTCTTGCAAGCCCCCATCCCTCGAACGGTAAAACTACATCCAGCTCACTTTACCTTCATTCTGATGCAACACGTTAACCATTCTGTACATGCAATAATTCACAGCATGTTAAAACTTACATTTTTTCCCAGTTGGCGATGTGGAATGGTTGGAGGAAGAAGAGCTTGCGCCGAAAGACTTGCGAGGTGCTCGAGCAGCAACAGCTTACATATCAAAAAGGAAAAACCATGTCAAAGTTTTATTTTTTGACCACACAAGTATAACAAATGCAGTGTCATTCAATTACATACAAACAGAACTTTAAATTGTAAATTATTAAAACATTTCCTTTGAAAGATCTATTACAGCAACATAAGGCTAGATTGGAGACTTCATGTAACCTCTTATTAAAGATTCTTTACTAATTCACACTGGCACTTCTGCATTCAAGCTGGCTTATACTGGAAATTGCATAGCAACATGCTGCGTGTTTTTAGGACTCAGTTTTAGCCCTGCTTACAGAAACAGAGTAATGAAGTGATTTTTTTTTTATTTTCACTAACATAAAATTTTGAGGACAAGCTGTCAGGGTATGTCCCCTTCTTCAAGGTCCAGGCAGAAAAGTATTAAGTTAGTACTCAATTGTTTCTGTAGCAAGTGCACTAATATGGCTACAATCACCTCAGCCCTGCTTAGTATGTGGAATTAAATCCTGGACGAAGAATTCTATTTACTCTAAAAACAACTAAATTGACCACACCTAAATGTGGGTAAACAAATCCTGAATGGAAAAATGCCTGTATTTTAAGTGCTTAGAGGTCATTCTCTGTATCAAGAGGGCTGACTTATAACCTTTTCCTGCATCATGTAAGAGCCTCAGAAACAGACAGTCAATGAGTTTGAGTTTAAACAAAAAACCCTCCTAACTTGAACTGTATTTTCACCTTAACCCTACAGGTAAGCTTATAATAAAACTAACCTATAAGAACACGGTTTAGGCGATTCTAGGGAGCAGCAGCCAATGACATCACTAGCACGTGTGCTCTGAAGGAAAGCCTGATGAAGGGGTCTTGCAAGACTGAAACATTGCCTTGCTGTAACTATGATCATTCATTTAAAAGTTTGTACCCACAGTGGCTAAATGTACTTCCGCCTGGCAGTACTAGGGTCGCTGGTTCGAATCCCAACCACGGCACCACCTGCCTGAAGTTTGCATGTTCTCCCTGTGACTGCTTGGGAGTCCTCCGGGTACTCGTTTCCTCCCACACTCCAAAGACATGCTGATAGGTTAATTTGGGTCCTGTCTAAATTGTCCCTTGTATGTATATGAATGAGTTAGGGACCTTAGATTGTACGCCCCTTGAGGGTTAGGGACTGATGTGAATGTACAATATATATGTAAAGTGCTGCATAAAATTGACAGCGCGATACAAGTACCTGAAATAATACCCATATTGGTGATCCTTGGTGTGCTGGTGACACATTCTTCCTTGCTGAAGGTAAGCAATATCCGGACTATTCCATCCGAGTTCTGTGCCACGGCCGTACAAAGCACATGTATGCGCAACATCATCACAGCTTTGCCACTTAGTTGGTTGCAGCTTACGATCCCAGGAGGATGGACACATGCAGCAGTGACCGCACTATGCTGGAGGGCTTTTTTTTCAAGGAACGTCTCTCACAATGAGAGAGTATGTGATACCTTGCAGGGTTTGTACACACACCCCTTTACTACCACTTTAAGACAGCATTCAGATAGCTTGCTGGGAATGCAATACAGATTCCAACTACTGATTTGAAAAGCATGATCCACACACCGGGCAACCCATTCAATGGAGGTCACAGGAACGCACTTATACTCCTGTGAGCAAGAGTCAGCTGATACAAGTCTTAAGCCTTCCATCAACTGATAGCACAGAGCCATGCCAGGCTCTGGAAGGATCTGAACCATGTCAGCATCAACCCAGCCGCCTGACTAGTTGGTTCCAGCTCTCAGCTGAGTTGAAGCGAGCTGCACCCACCTCCTCTCCAGGGAGAGCTAGAGGGCAGAAAGGGGTGACCGAGTCACTGCTCTCCACTCCAAGCAGAACTGAGGAATCTGCAGCCATGTGGTTACCCCCCCCCCTTTTTTTAAATACACCCCAAATTTCTTGTGTAAGGTGGCCCAAAAAACAGATCTAATCAAAGTATTCTCAGAATCTGATACAGGTGATTGTACCCATATTAGTGCATTTGCAACAGAAACAATTGAGTACTGTCCGTGATACTTTTTTTTTCTTTGCACTAACATACAATTTTGAGGACGAGCTTTTGGGGGAGTGTCCCCTTCAAGGTCCAAGCAGTACAGTTTGTGATTTGTATAGTACTGCTTGCACCTTGAAAAAAGGGGACACTCCCCAAAATCGATGTTAGTGCAAATAAAAAGTAGTATCACGGATAGTACTCAATTGTTTGTCAGAATCTGACACCAAATTTTAGCAAAACAGATCAATTTCTTCAAAACTAAAGTGACCAACCCAGAATGTGATTGTTGAGCATATATGAACCTCCTCCATCTCTCGCTATTGCTAATTTCTAATAAAGTCAATAGGACAGCATATATAAAGCCATCCTGTGTATGGCCACCATACAGAGGGGATCCCCCTGTACAGATCTCACACAGGAAGGGAGGGGTCACACATGACTCCTGCTGGGATCTGATCCTCCCACATGTGGGGGCACAAACAACTCCCAGCAGGGGCAGACTGACAACTCATGGGGTCCCCGGGCAATAGGGGATCATGGGGCCCCTGTGTCCTTGACTAAACTCTAAAAAGCCTATGAAAAAAAAAAAAAAAAAAAAAAAAAAAAAAAAAAAAAAAAAAGTACCAGGGGCATCTCATGGGGCCCCCTACTGACCCCAGGCCCTCGGGCAGTGCCCAAGTTTACAAATGGTCAGTCCGCCCCTGGCTCCCAGTAATGTGTCCTCTCTGTCAAGGAGATTCTTACTTTCCCTGAATCGTGAGGTGACCATCGCAGCGTCTGTGTTCCCCAGAACCATGCTCAATTCCCGAGGGCTGTCGAGTATAAAGGAGAGTTTTGGCGGGCCTTAGTTAGGCCCCCGCACCGTACACAAATACATTACGACCGCCGTAAATACACCGGTGTACATCAGACAGTTAACAAGACATAAAGGCGCATCCTTGCTGACAAAGGAACATCTAGAACTACCACTCAACAGCGACACCCTCCTACAAGCATCACCTTTCCGGTAGCTGCCTGAGGACGTTCCCGCGCTGTCCGCTTTAGTCCGCACCATGATCACCTCACCCTGTCCGCGCCACAAGCTGCTCTGCCCGCCTATACCTCTCCAGCCGGATTTAAAGATCCCGCGTTGGCGCTCGAAATTCCAACCCGCCCACCGTGCTACTACTGGACAGTCGTCTCCTTACTCCGCCCATTCTCTTCCGGGTAGCCAATAGATGTCAATGCGCGAGCTGTCTGTCATACCGTCTGCCTTCCTTCCCGCCCAAACGCCGGGCTCGCCTATCGCTGTCTAGCTGCAGCCGTGGAGGAGGAGCGGTGGTAGCTCTGTATTTTCCCGCTCGAATTGGAGAGTTGCCTGTGGTGGCATGTTACCAATGTGAAGTGAGGAAAAATAAAAGGCTTGGTAGACAGCAATGTAATGTGCAAGTAAATAAAATCCCTGATAACTACAATAATAAATGAGGACACGCCTGAACCTAAATGATGGCCTATATGATGTCATTTATAGAATGGGGGAATGTTTGCTATGTTCCCACTGTGAGTAAACACCAAGGCCTGTGCTTGTTTATCTCATCACACTAATGCAGGCCATAGATGGGTCAAAAACTGGCCGTTTTTAAAAAAAAAAAAACGAAAAAATCAGTCATTCAATAGGCCGACGTTCGCAGCAATGATAGGCAAATTGGCCAATCTTTTTACCGATAAAAAATCTGCGCATGAGCCGTAACCTGCAAGAAAAAGAAGAATTCCAGGCCGCTATTATATTTGACATGAAAAAGTATAGCGGTTGCAACAATGTATCTATTTGTATCCGAATAAAACCATCTGTATCCGAAATGGATACAAATAGATACATCGTTGCAACCGCTATACTTTTTCATGTCAAATATAATAGTGGAGTTCTCTGCAAGGGACAGAAGTAATTAAATGCCGGCTGTAGATGGGACGAAAATTTTTTTTTTGAATGGACACAGCTGGTCACATGCTAAGAGTGGCTGTGATTGGCCCGTTCCTTAGTCATGTGATCAGCATGTCCGAAGGACACAGTGATCACATTTCACGTGCAGTGCGCGACCCAGGGGGCATGCAGTTCTGGGAGGACATCCAAGGACGCTCTCCGAGAACTAGCTAACCACGCTGTAGCTGTCTTTTTGGATATAGCGCGGTCAGGAACTGGTTAATTGTATCACTGACCAGGTATACTACACTAGGCTCTGTTCACACCAATGCGCTTTTTTAGTGTTTTTTGAAGACGCACACTACAGTCCATTTAACATGGTTTCCTATGGAACATGTTCACATCTATGCTTTTTTGAGCTGCTGCATTTTTGGAAAGGGCCAGGGACTTTTTTTAAAAACAAAAAAGCAGAGTTTTCACTACAATAGAGTTCAATGGAGAAACTGCTGAAATGCATGGTAGTGTGTTTTTGCCGCGTTTTGCATTTTTATTTTGCAAACCAAAAAAGAAAATAATTCCACTTTAACAAAAAAAAAATGCAGTAAAAACGCCTCAAAATGCGTAAAAAATGCATTAGGTTGGAGATTGATGGGAGCTGGAGAGATACTAAGTCTCACCTGTCCATGTGTGAAGGTTTTACAGGTACCACACCCCTATTGGAACAGTGAAAAAAAATAAACCCTAGTAGGAGAAACTAATGGGGCTTTTAAGGTACCATACCATTATGTGTATAAAGATGCATAATCATAAACAATATTGGATAAAATAGAGCATATTTTATTATGACATTATAAAGTCACACAGAGTGGTAAGCAAATCAAATGCCAATATAGGCACATACATAAGGAGTTAACAAAAATATAAGAAACCAAAAATGCTTTTCCATAAAATTGAATCCAAAACTGGATAATCAAAAGATCCGACACATTTTGTGGGATGTGACTCACTTCTTCAGGGAAAGTGGAAAAACTAAACAATGCCTTCAGAGGAATCAAAAATATACAACCAATTAACAATGATAATACAGAAAAAGCATAACAGTGTACACAAAATTATATAAAGCAATAAATGAAAAAAGAGGCAGCAAATTACCAGTCGATGATAGCACTCTGTTCAATAGCTGCACCTGGTATACATGAAGATCAGTAGTGATTGGATACACAAAGGGAGATTTTCTGAGCTCCAGGAGGAAGCCAGCAGTCTGAGAATACCTCAGATCAAATTGGGTAGCAAACGACAAGCCGTTTTTTCTAAGGGTCCATAAAATAATCAGTGATTAGAGATTGAAAAATTCTCTTTTTATAAAAAATCTAAGACTCTCCCATCTCTGGGATCTCTAGGGGTGTAGTTGTTTTTTTTTCAGAGATGGGAGAGGCTTAGATTTTTTATAAAGAAAGATCTCTAGGGGTGTAGTTTGTTTTTTTTCAGAGATGGAAGAGGCTGAGATTAACGATAGTACATACAGTACTTCCAATGTACAAACAGGTAATATCAGCAAAAGGCCTGATTGGAGTCCTGTTAGAATTGTGCACGTATACCTATCACATACCTGGTGATGGAGGCTAATGGAGAGAGGGCTTCCCGTGCGGCTAAGTTCCAGACTCCCCTGAGAGTGGGACAGCAGGAGTCAGGCCCAAAGTGGCACAGGTCGCCTGTAGGAGTGCTGGTTGGTGGTCCACTCAGAAGCACAGCTGATGAACGGAGATAGGTCTGCAGACAGGTGGTGCCTGTGCGAGGTATGCAAGCCCTTCCGGGATTTAGAGATTTACTGGATAGCCAGTTCAAGCCAATGTCAGGTACCAGGTGGGAATCAGAGCAGACGTAGTCAGATGGGATAGCCGAGGTCATACACAAAGGAGCGAGAGAGAGAGAGTGAGTATCCGTAAGCCAAGCCGAGGTCAGATCAGGGGTTAAGCAGAGTAGACAGGTCCAAGAGCAAGCCGAGTTGGTATCAGGAAATCACAGGTCACAATAACACAGGAAACAGAAACAAGACGTGGGGAGCTAGAGATCATCCAGCAACTTGAGGAAGTGATGAGCCTCCTTATAAATGCCATCTGGCACCAAACTGAGGCTGATGTGTGCTTCTGCGGCCATGCAGGGTACTGGCAGAAATGCCAGATCTTCCAGAACTTCTGCCATGGATAGAACCCTGACAATACCTGGGTATATATAGTTATTAACAGGGCTTTTTTTCTCAAATAATAGATGCAGAAACTCCCCATTTCTAAATAATTTCTTGTCTCCGCCCCTTACACACCTCCTAGCACCGTCTCTTGGTTTTGTGGTGCTAAGTAATTTGTATGGAATTTTTTAATGATAACAAGAAAATCCGTAAAATAGATCCCTCGCAGCCAACAGCATTGACCCCCCCCCCCCCACCAGCGACAATAGATTACCTCAGCAGCAATGGACCCCGGCAACAAAATACCACCTCAGCAGCAACAGGCCACCAACAGCAACAGCAGATCTCCCAGCAGCCAGCATCAATAGACTCTTCAGCAGCCAGCAATATAAGACCCATTCCTCAACAGTAGATCCCTTCCAGCAACAATATATCCCCTATCAGCAACAATAGACCTCCCCAGCAACAATAGACCACCATGGAAAAATAGATCCCCCAGCACCCAGCATCAACAGACCTTCCAGCACACCCCAGCACCCCTTGCCAATACATACATTCAGTGCTGGAGATGCCGGAATGGCGTTCCCCCATGTTCTTGCTGAAAAAAGCCCTGGTTATTAATAGAATATATCTAGATGATTGTTGCAGCATTATCAGGGCCCCTATGAATGATCATGATGCAGCGTCCATCTTTATGTTGGAGACCTGAAGACAAGATCAGTGGTGATGGAGAGATCCTCCAACTGTTGTCCAACCAGTCTAGAATGCAGCTTCTCACCAATAGGAACTGTGGTGTGGTACTGGAACTCAGAGCCACCCTATCTACTCTGTGCTTGAATGCCTCCCTAGTAGTTTCTATTCGAAGATGAAACCCGACCTCTAACTACCAGAATTGGCCATTGAATGCCTAACCTGGTTCTAGCCTATGTTGGCTACAGAGCCCTAAGCTAAATCTAGCTATAGAATCCAACAGACTGGGTCAACCAAAGAAACAGCTCCATATAACTAAAATAACAGAAACTGCATATACAGTGAGGAACAGAAGTATTAGAACACCCTGCGATTTTGCAAGTTCTCCCACTTAGAAATCATGGAGGGGTCTGAAATTCACATTGTTGGTGCATTCCCACTCTGAGAGACAGAATTAAAAAAAAAAAATTCAGGAAATCACATTGTATGATTTGTAAAGAATTTATTTGTCTTGCACTGCTGAACATAAGTATTTGAACACCTAAGAAACAGCAAGAATTCTGGCTCTCAAAGACCTGTTACTGTGCCTTTAAAAAGTCCACCTCTACTCCACTCATTAATCTAACTTAGTAGCACCTGTCTGAGCTCTTTAAAGACACCTGTGCACCCCACAGTCAGTCAGACGCCAACTACTACCATGGGCAAGACCAAAGAGCTGTCAAAAGAGACCAGAGACAAAATTGTGGACCTCCACAAGGCTGGAAAGGGCTACGGGGCAATTGCCAAGCAGCTTGGTGAAAATAGCTCAACTGTTGGAGCAACTGTTAGAAATTAGAAGAGGCTAAAGATGACTGTCAGTCTCCCTCAGACTGGGGCTCCATGCAAGATCTCACCTCGTGGGGTATCACTGATGATAAGAAAGGTGAGGAATCAGCCCAGAACTACAAGTGAATAGCTGGTCAATGACATGAAGAGAGCTGGGACCACAGTTTCAAAGGTTACTGTCGGTAGAACACTACGCCGTCATGGTTTCGAATCATGCATTGCACGGAAGGTTCCCCTGCTCAAGTCATCACATGTCCAGGCCTGTCTGAGGTTTGCCAATGACCATATGAATGATCCAGGGGAGGCATGGGAGAAAGTCATGTGGTCAGATGAGACCAAAGTAGAACTTTTTGGTCTAAACGTCACTCGTCGTGTTTGGAGGAAAAAGAAGGATGAGTTGTATCCCAAGAACACCATCCCTACTGTGAAGCATGGGGGTGGTAACATCATGCTT